GGAAAGAAGGGTTGGGACCCCACGGTATCCCACTGGAAGAAGGCACACGTCCTTCTGAAATCTTACTGTGACACAGGTTTCCCGCTCCAGCTTCTTGCACCGAATCCAACCTCATTACATATGGCACACTAGAGGACCTGGACAACAACAGCTCAAGGGAGATATCGCTCACCTTCCAAAACTGCGCTCACCTCTGAGGATTTGATCAACTCTTCCCTTGAAGACAACCTATGACTCCGTTTGAGTCAAGCAAAGCAGAAGCAAGTTTAACAAGACCCTCTGAACACCTTCTCATCCTGCTCCCCTATCTCACTCCCCACGCACACACCACATCTGAAGGCCACATGAGGCATCGCATCAAGAGCGGGGACTTCAGGCCACAAAGGACCTTTCCCTAAATCTACAAGTAAACGGTGGGAACTAAGGAAGCCTGGGAGTCACAGATGCAAAATCACACAGCGGCAGTCAGTCAGCAACACAGTGTGCAGCAGGAAATCTCATTACAGCTCTTCACCACTAAAGAAACAAGGAGGCCTCAGTGCTCACAAGAAACAAAGGGAGGCTTTAACCCACCAAAACTGCATGTAGGGATGGCTTTTAAAGAGCATCAGGTCAGAGCGAGCCTTGGGGAAAGGCTAAAAGCCTGTAAGATACTCCTTTGCCTTCTCCTACTGTGCTTCGTGCTGTTCTGGCTAGGGTACTGTCCATGCACCCATTAGTCCTTAAAAGCCTCAAGGTCCTTTAGCCAACCCACCATGTTTTCAAGCTCCAGGGTGTCAGCAGAGGAGAAACAGGAGACAGCTCTGCAACGAAGCACACGTCATTAGGGAATGGGCCACGCTAACCATCCTCGCTCAGCAGCACAGTCAAGCAGCCACCCACACGGCTCTAGCACAGGTACAGAGAGGCTCTTCCTGCTCCTGCTGTCAACACCAAGGATTAGCAACTTGGCTTGCAGTGGACTCTGCTTCTAATGAATTAAATGCTCTAATAGCACCGCAAGAATGACTGCGAATGCAGGTCAAATGGCACTTACCAGCCCGTCTCCTCTTCAGGGTGACATAGGGCAGTAGGTCATGGCGAGTGATAATCCGGAGCAACTGGAGCACCTGCCGGAAGTTGGTCTCATCGCAGCGGCCCTGTCTTTCCAGTGCCAGCAAGAAGTCCCGGCCACTGCGGATCATCCCCCTCTCGTAGTCGTCGATCACATCCACAAAGAGGAAGGATAACACGCGTACGTCTCGGTGGGTCAGGTGGGTGCCCACAATATCAAACATACGATGCAAGCTGTAGAGTCCGTGCTCACGGTCCCCCCTCTCCTCCGGCCAGGCTTGCGCTCGGCTCCGCTTGAAGGAGGCCATCTTACACAGCTGCTGGTCTTGGCACGTGCTGCGCAGTTCCCTGCGAAGCGCAAGGCCCTTCTGATCGCTGCAACCCTAGGAGATAAAGAAGGCCACTGGGCTTTAACTGGGAATTGTGCTACTCATTCCCTATTATTCTTAGCAAGATGCTTAATGAAAATCCCAGGCTGAATTCCTCCACTAGCAGTAGCTCCTGCTCAGCTCCTCAAGGAATTACTTCTGCTTCCTGCCTACTTAACGTTCCCATCCAGAGGTCAGTGTTACCTTCCTTCACCATTCAAAGAAAAAAAAAAAAAAAAAGAAAAAGAAAAAGAAAAGAAAAGCTGACGCTCAGCCTCAGACATGGCCCAGCCTGCTGGATCCGCAAAGAGACCCAGGAGTCCTAATACCCAATCCCCGACTCTGATTGCCAGCGTGAAAGATTCAACAACATGCTTGGGGTGACTTGTATATCCCTCCCAGCCCAGTCTCCCTGGCGCAGCATTTAATTCTCCCCACCTTTGGCAGTTACTTGTCCTCCTCTCTGCACAACAGCTCTTCCGCTGGAAAAGCTTACATTAAAAACAGAAGACTGGGCACAAAACAGACTGCACTGACCTTTGTTACCACTGACAGGTCTTTGTCATATTAACTTATGAACCCAAACCTCTTCTGGTAGAAATATCTACAAGCTGCAGAACCCCAGTGGCAGGGCAGAGCATTAGAAGGAATCCAGACTCATAACCCAAGCAAGAACTGGCTTTTTCCACTCCAGCAAAACTCCTTGTACCTAGTAGACTTAAATAGGCTGCTCGACAGTCCTAACAACCTTCAGCTTTGCAGGAAGAGTGCTTGCTTGCTTCATTCCTCCCCACCACCGCGCGCACCAATAGGCATTAAATACACTAAGCCATTAAGCGCAGCCACTAGCATCGCACCAAAACATTAAGCGAGAAGCAAATCAGCCATTTGGCAGGCCCAAACCTGTTTTATTTTTAAAGTCAGATGAGCGCAGGCCTCGTCAGACTGGCTTCAGTGACTGTCTCTGGGCTCACCCTCCTCATTTCAGCAGCTCTCTTACTCAGGCTATCAAAGACACCCCTGTGACGGAAAGGGCCAGCCCAGCAGGAACAGCCCAGCTCTGCCGAGACCTAGGTCCTTCCAACACAGCAGGGGGACAGGGAGAAGCTAGGGGAAAGCACAAAAGGCAGGCTTTTCCCCACGTGCCCTGGCACGCAGGAGCTTTTGGGCAACGAGAGGGGACACAGGGAGTTTCCGTGTTGAGGAAGGGTTGGTCCTTTGAGCTGCGCCATGGACCCTTCACCTAAACCCTCTCAAAGGGACAGAGGGAGGGCTTGTTACCACCCCAAGGCAGTTGCTCATAGGTCTGCCATCATCTGGCTTTCCCATGGGCCTGACAACCTAATTTCTTCACCACGATCAACACTCACACATTTCTGAAATTAAAGGTAACAATCTCTCTTCACCTGATCTAAGGCTTTTTGCCTATTTGTTTCAAACAATAAGAAATTAGGTCTGTTACATTTTCATTTCCCATCAGTTTGTCTGTAAGGTTCCCACCGCACAAACGGGCTTGCTGGATTTGTCTTAACCCAAAGAACAGATTTAGGACAAATCTGAGTTTTCCTTATGAGAAAACTCTACATCTAAATGTCTTTGTGTTTTCAAAGGAAACACTGAAGTAGAGTTTTCACATTTAATCCCAAGCTCATATATGATCGGTATGAATATTTATAGCTGGAGTGCTTCCTGAGGGCAGAGTACGCAAAGCGTTTCAGCCCACGTGGGGCCAGGTAATCGCCCACTGCTGCAAGGTGGCTTCAAGAGGCCTCTGCGCATCTCTGCACATTAGCTTACACTCAGTAGGCAGTGTAAATGGGAGGGCTGAAATGATTATCAGTGCTTCCCGGGCACACTCTGCCCCGCTTCAGAGGCTACGACTCCAGCTGAACAGGAGACGTACCTGCTCGCAGCGAGCTAGCTGGCTCAAAAGCAAACGCACCTCCTGTTCAGACACATTTCTGAGACAGCAATCATACAACTACGGTTGCTGGGAAGGAGCAGTCACAATCCTGTCCTTGTCCTCCTTCGGAGATCAAGCGTTGTCACAACTAAGCATAGGAAATTAAAGTGTCCCACACCTGGATGTTTGAACAGGGGAACCGCACCACGCTAAGCACTGTTGTGACAACAGCGCTGCAAGGAACCACCCGAGACATGCTGGAAATCTGTGACGAGCCATTTGGAAGTGCAAGTCTCTTGAAAGAGCTGTCATTCAGGGCGTGCAGGAATTGGGTTAAGAGTAAACTGTACAACTCAAACAATGAGGAAAACATTGTTGCGGTGAAATCAGAGGGAACAAGTGTCCTTCAACAGAAGGGCACACGGAGGCAGCGAGCTTGCAGCCCTCTCAATGCCTCAGCTCCTCTCCCATCTTTCTCAGGGAGCGACACTGCTGAAACCAGGCTGGGTCCTCCCTCCGTTCACACCGTCAGTGGTGCTGGAGGAGCTGCTACGGACTCCTCCTGCCTGCCCAGAGTAAGTGTGCACACATACAACTCGGTGGGGAAAGCAAAGGGGAAAGGGAAAAAGAGCTGTGTTCCCTGGATTTGAAATTTAATGGTAGAGCCCCCTCCCCTTCTCCCTTACTTCAACACAGATGCTGACCACAGTGCGACAAGCTTTCACGCAAAGCTGAGATTAACTCCTACAAGCGAGTGCAGAACTCAGCCTGGCTAATACATGCAAACACACGTACACCCTGAGTAATCCTGAACGGCTTTACGATCCATATGCAACCCTACAGCCCAACTTAGGAGGCTGGATAAGTACTAAGAAAGGGAGAATTTAAAGAAAACAAAGCCAGAAGGAAATCTTCACTCTTAATGGCAGGCTTGGACAAAGCACCCTGTCACTAGGGGTATCCTCCACATCAGTAGCACACTCGAATGAATCGGGAAGCCTGTACACAATGCTAAGAACATGCTTAAAACAGAATTACGTATAGGTGACATTTGTCATGCAACATGCACAACATTGAAGTGTTTCAAACATTGCCCCAAGTGCTCTGGACAGCCGAGAAACCTCCCTGTCCCCAGGAAAGCCACCGCTGCCACATTTACATCTGAACAATGGCATGAGAAGAATTCCCAATAGGAGTGAAGAGAGAAAGTTTATTGGACAGAAAAGAAGTTGCCTCGGAGGAGGTTTCTCCACGGGAACTAGGTCAGTGAATCTCAAAGTTTCTGCTCCTTTCTGCTCCTCAAGGCTCACTTACCAGGCCTCTTGAAGCAGAAACGCTCAACAGTTAACTTGTATCTCAGGAGACTTTTCCATGGCTGGGATTTACCTTGGAAGCTATAGGTGGGAAACTGGAGGCAGCCAGGTAAGACCATGGCACGTAGCCTAAAAATGGATTTCATTCGTTCTTGGCAAATATTTCCACCTTGAATATAAAGCCCAATCTTACAACCCATTAAACCTGCCCCATGGGAAGCAAGCAAGTTTGGTGCTAGGAGCAAGTTGGGATGAAACACTGACTGTGGGTACTCTCTTTGAAGCTATTCAGTCCAAAGCAACCTGTACAGGCAACCCTGGTGGGCTTCAGACCCCAAAATGGGCATTTAAGCACTGGCAGTGCATTTCCGACCAAATAGCTTCCAGCCACCTCGCAGCAGATGGTGATATGTGGGGAAGATCCCCATTTTCAGCTCTCCTCTTACAAAGAGCCCATGGCTCAAAGGCACCTACTGCAGGCACACCCTCAGCATGACAGCATGTGTACTGTATGGTGGAGTCATGCACCAACTGCATCACTAATATATCCTAAAACACTGGCCCTTGTTAGCCTAAACAGGTCAGGAGTCCTCCTTTCCAGTGACATGCTAGACCGAGGGTTATCAATGTCTGTGTCAGTGTCACTAAAGGTCTCTTTTGCACGAGAGAGAAGATTTCAGCTCTGACACCAGCCTCTGTGGTTTCTAAGCAGACATAGCAGCGTTTCCCTGCCTCGGAGAGCTAGGCAGAGAGAGCAGCCCAATTTAGGCAGTAATACAAGAAAGAAGTGGAAAAAAGTGGTATTAACCTTAATTCACTCCTTCCTCCCTGTGCAGATCCACTCCTTCTGGCCATGGGGGGAGTAACTTGCATGAAAGCTTATGTCTGCGCAGGCAGCTGGTGTGCAAGGAAGCAGGTCCGGGCTGGACTGGCCACACTCCCCTCTCCTACCCTCCCTAGTTCAGTCCCTCAGACAGAAGAAAACAAGCCAATAGAAACCTGCTTTGAGTAGCACCCAGCTTTTATTCCCTTTTCCCTCAAAAAGCCCAAACCGCAACTGTACGTTACACGCAACAACAGCAGTTCCCAAGTGGATCTGCCGGGTCACAGCATCCAGAGCCATGACGCAGGCAAACGGAGTAAACATGGGATAAAGGCAGGAATCTCCAAGTCTATTCCTGGCACTGCCAATGACTCACTCTCTGGCCTTTGGGCAAGTAGGGAGGATGATAACACTGTCCTACTTCCCAGGGTGTTGTGTGCATTAATGACTGTTTGTTGAGCGCTTGCACCAACCATCATTCACTTCCCCTCCTGGCTCAGCAAGGAACGCTAAGTAGCTGCCACGCTCCACGCAAGTCGCTCCGCTGAGAGGGGGAGCAATCTCAGTCCACTCCTTGCCCCACTGGCAGGGCACTGTCACCACTGTGATGGGTTAAGCTAAAGGCTGCAACCAATCCGACAGCTCAAGGCTCTAGCAAGACTTAAACTGAAAGGTTTTTTTATTCCTATATAAAATGCAAATAGCTTAAATTAAAACACGTTCAGTGACTACCACTCCAAGCCGGAAAACAGTTTTGTGCAGCTCCGACTACTCCTGCTACAGAGGGGAGGGCATTATATATTACACAACTTTTTCATCCCCGAGGAGAACGGTTTTATCAGTACAGCTTATAATGAAGACAGTTCTCAGTACAAACAGCTCATAGCTATTTCTACATAGGAAGAAGGGGGTTAAAAAAATAAAACAACACGCACACACACCACAAAATAAAGCACCTTCATACTTCTATAACCAC